AGCCTTAAACAAAACTGCTACAGTTACAGCTTTGCTAGACATCAGGTAGTCACGTTTTGCAGACATATCGCTACGGTTACAGCTTTGCTGGACATTAGGTAGATATGTTTGTAGATGTACTGTTACAGTTACAGCTTTGCTAGACATCAGGTAGTCACGTTTTGCAGACATATCGCTACGGTTACAGCTTTGCTGCACATTAGGTAGACATGTCTGTAGATGTAATGCTACAGTTACAGCTTTGCTGGACATTAGGTAGACATGTTTGTAGATGTACCGCTACAGTTACAGCTTTGCTGGACATTAGGTAGACATGTTTGTAGATGTACTGTTACAGTTACAGCTTTACCGGAAATATCGGTTTAACTCTACCAATAACGTACAGTCACGAAGTGTAACAAAAGGAGAGAGCTATGCGAATAAACTGAAAGGCTAGGATAATGAGAAAAAACAAACAAATCTCCTCACGTAAGATCATGAAACGGAAGTTGTCTGCATAATAATTCCAAACTGCCGTCATGCATTAGCGAGTTATCACCATCTGGTCAATCGTTTATTCGCAATACTGCTCACAGTACGGTTAACAATGAGGGTGTCCGAGACAAACATCGTGAAGCTGATTTCCTGTCTCTCTCATTGTCGTAGTTCTCATTTCCTTTCAACCTCCTGACTCACGGAAACAGATGTCCAACCGAGTTCCTGTTTACACGTGCGTCCGCGAGACCGATTTTGTGGAAGGCACAATTTTGCATACGATTTGTTTCACAGTTCTTTTATTTATTTATCTATCATTTCTGTTTATACTTGCGATTTTGTCGTTACAACATCCAGCTGTCCAGTTACAGTTATCTTAAACACAGGACTACTACCAAGGTCAACGTTAATGCCATTATTTAAAGAGTTTCTCAATGGCATACATTAAAACGAATTAATTTTGCATATGCAAATAAGGTGATTATAAATATCAAGGCAAAAAAAAAAAAGTTACGACAGAAATGTGAACTTGATTTGTAAAACAATCACATAAAGATGGGGACATGTTGATTTGCCGTGAAGACAATAAAGCTTTCTCTTGCCCTATTTGTCTGATACGTTTATACTGACTGGTTTACTGTGTTACAAGATAAGTGAGTGCATAGGTGGAATGCTGCTTTACAGTCAGAAAAAATCGATATAAAATACTGCAGTGAGCCCGAGACAAAGAGATCAACACCGAAGACAGCCCGAAGAGATGTGGATCGCCCCAGCCAGAAAAAAATATAATTATGTTACAGTTTCAAACAATTATTTCTATATACTTGATTTTAGTTCAAATAAAGATTCTGATGATTAATACTTTAGTTTTAACATACAAACATGAATTAGAAAAAATATATGTGAGTATTTTCCTAAAATTACGCGCAATGAAATGCTTAAGGCACAATTCTGTATTTACATAAAAAATACTATGTGACGTTAACAACCACCGTTTCACTCTTTAATTGTTTTTAATGGATGAACAAAAAACACGAATAAGAAAAAATATACGTTAGTGCATAATATAATGCTTAATTAACAATTCTGCATTTACTAAAAAAACGATCACCGTTTCACCCTTTAACGTTATACAGCGACTACGTGGCTTCTAGATGAAAATTTGCATATATAAAAATTTTGACAGAGAATAAAAAACAACAAGATTCATCTAGACGGGTGAATAAAGCAGCTGGTCTATAAAATGAACAAAGTTATTAATTTCTTTGTAACTTTCATTAGGATATCAAAGATGGAAGTTATACAATATTTTTACTACTCTGCAGTGAAGTTTATGTTCTGTAATTAAGCTATATTCATAGGTGAAAACAAAATAATGTGTCTTGATATCCGATAGGTTACAGCTTTGCTGGACATTAGGTAGACATGTCTGTAGATGTAGTAGCGATATGTCTGCAAAACGTGACTACCTAATGTCCAGCAAAGCTGTAACCGTAGCGGTACATCTACAAACATGTCTACCTAATGTCCAGCAATGCTGTAACTGTAGCGGTACATCTACAAACATGTCTACCTAATGTGCAGCAAAGCTGTAACTGTAGCGGTACATCTACAAACATGTCTACCTAATGTCCAGCAAAGCTGTAACTGTAGCGGTACATCTACAAACATGTCTACCTAATGTCCAGCAAAGCTGTAACTGTAGCGGTACATCTACAAACATGTCTACCT